ACATCAAGATTCAAGAGATATGATTGGGTTTCTCATTAGTCTCGAAGATGAGAAAACATTTCAAATCGTTGGGCTTATTAAATAATTGTTGCACTATTGGCCCACCACATCTTTCGCTGTTCATCTTGTTTCCTTGGCGTACAAAATCCGAAAATAACAAACTAGAAGGGTGAAGCTGAACCATTTCTCGATTTGGTCATGCCAATCTTCTCTGTATCGTTCCAATTTTATCAGATGTCCCTGAAAGAAAGGGATTCCTCCACTCTTAATCATAGGACGAGATTCAAATCTCGCAATAAGTATGGAGCAATTTTAAATACTTTGACCAACTGTTTTACCTATTGAGGGTACAATTCAACGTAGGGGATTAGACACTGTTGTCTACAGTAGACACCCTGTAAATATGGGAAAAAAATTGATGAAGCTGACATTGTTCCTTAATGTACATGTACCTTCTGTTCCAAAATTATTGTCCAGTTTGAACTTTCACTTTTAGTTCAATTTGTTCTGAAAATAAAATATTAAAGTGGACAATAATTTTGGGACGGAGAGAATATATCTTTACATGAATATGAACTTGCGCAAATAATTGTTTGGATTTCACACTTAATTCTTCTTTTACCCTGCATTAACGATTTATTTGAGAAGTATTGTAATATCAAGTACATTTAATAGAGTGTAATGCCGAAGGGGAAGATAATGCCATATTGGTAAGATGGGGAAAAAACTGTTTGAAAATTGTAAGAAGGCATAGTATAAGCACAAACAAAGACACAAGTTTTTCAAATCAATTCGATGGAGTAATTAGCTATCCTCACTATCCAAATCCAATCATATTATGATGGGAATCGATAAACTGAGAGCAAAAGTTTTACAGTTACCAATATTACCCTCATGTAAAATTATAAATAATTTATACCATATTTATTTTCCTTAATTTCTCTATTCTTTCTCGGCTGTTCTTCAATCACCATCGCAGGATGGGAGATATATGATGCTTCCTGCCTCCTTTTGCAACATCGAAAATTTATGGCGCCTTGATCTATTTTTCAGTCCCAACTGGAGAGATTCAAATTTCTTTACGCTGAGTCTAATTTACAATTTCCTGATTTGATTTTGGCGGGTGGGTGGGCATCAAAACATCTCCAAGTGCCGTAAGGTATGTCTTTTCCTAGGCAACTTTCCCACTTTATAGGGATGTATTTGGCATATTCAAGATGTTTTACAATTTGTGTTTATCTTCAATTGAAGTCATGACTACTCTATTCGGAGTTTACTGAGGTATCGTTGTTTATTGGGTTTCGGAATGTAACAGAGATACAGTTGATATTCATGGATTGGGTTCCTTTTTCGTTCATGTTTTCGGCATATATTTTGTCTTCTTTGCAAACTTTTGTTTAGATAGATTTGTGGCTATATATATATGTACGTTTTGGTTTTTCCTGATTGCGCTCGACGAATTTTAGTTCGCTGATCAACTTCACAAATTTTGGACCGCAAGAAATTTCTTTTAAGATTGATCTTATATAATTCTGCTCTAAGTTGGTCGCAAATTTGGTTATTGAATATCATATATTGCTTCAATTAAGTTTCAGCAAAGAAGCCTACCTTACGTAGTGGACATTGTTATAAGTGAGAGTGCACTTTCAACTAGGAATGCTTTAAGAATTTTCTCTTGAATTTTTCATACAACGATTTGTATTTTTCATATCATAATTTGGTTCAGTTTATTTGTTGAGTATATAAATTTTGTAATAAAGTACTTGTGGTGTGGTGCGTGGGAATTTCGCACCTTGAGATGTCCATTTGTTCAATTTCTTTCAAATTTGTAGCTTGCTAGGGATCGAATGGAGTTTACTCTCGTTTGGTTGGGACATTCTTCAATTCAGCGCAATCATCAATATTTTTGCAAATGTGATGATGTTTTGCATTAATTATTTTTATTTTTATTTCGGTGTTATGATTATGTTCTTGTTAACTAATCCCAATGACTTTTCCCAAAAAAAAAAAACAAAAAAAAATCCCAATGCAAACAAATGGTTTGGGAGTGAGACAAATCGACCAGAGGCAGATGATAGCCAAGGCAGCCTCTCTCAGACTCGGGAAACATAGCAGCAGGTCGCAAACATATGCGTATTAAGGAAAGAAGTTAAAAAAATTAAGGAAAATCATTAACAAAGGTAAATCTCTTAATTTTGAATAAGGGTATTATAGGTAATAAGTACAATTTTGCTCTCAAAATAAAATAACAGCTCTCAATTTACCAGCTCCCATTGTCCTTTAATGCAAAAAAAAATCTATGTTGTACTCTCCTGATATAAAACAACCTGTAACAAGGTAACAATAGAATCACATTCGCATCTATTCTAATTAATGATCCATGTCCTGAAATTTGTTATGTAAATTAATAGGAGCCCTTAACTTTAATCATGTTTTTAATTATTTAAGCACAAGCATATCATTATATTCCGTTCAAACTCACAATTCCCCAATTTCTTCAGTTCGGTTTATTCCATCCACATTCGAAAAAAAGGATGGTAAATGGTAGTACTAGTAATAATGTGCGATACGTGATTCACAAAAAAGACAAAATAGAGACGATAACTCCTTTTTTGCGATAAAAATGATAAATTGACGAGAATTTCGAGTTTGTCGCATTTGGTAAGACAAGGAACAAGGAAAGCCCCTGGTCCCATTGAGCCAGCTGGCAAAGAGCTTCACGCAAGTCCAAGTGTCCTTCCATTGGGCCCAAATTCACGTGCCGCCACGCCCACAGTTGTTTGGCGTTACTTACGACTGTATGGTGCCACGTGGCATCAAGGTTATGGAAGTTCACACGTGGTGCATCCTAGAAGGTCTCAAATTTGGGACGTGATCCAGGTGAGTCTTCCCCCCTCTCCGTCCTTGGTCACGACAAAAGCCTCATCGAAAGAGACAAATACGAATTCCCTGAAATGCCCTCGTCTCCCTTTTGCTTTGTTTTGTTGTTAGGAGAAGGCAAAAACTAAAAAGTTGCATCAATTTACTTCGTTGGTGAAAGTAAAACACACTAATGAAGTAGGAGAAGGTAAAAAAGGCCACATCGTAATAAGTACAGGTATGCGAAGAGGAACGAAATTATTAGTACAGAGTTCGATTTTTCTTCAATCAAGGGTAAAATAACATAAAATTTAGGTTACAACCAATGGAGATTTAGAAAAGAAAGAAAAAACTATAAATAAGGACTGTTGTTTGAAAAATATAGGTTGCATCATCATCAATATCTATAATCTTTCTTTAGTAGTTACCTCCATTTCACATTATCTGTCGCATTAAGACAAACGCACAAATTAAGAAAAACATGTATGGGAATATAATCTTATATGTATTGATCTTTTTATCCTTAATTAATTATATTGGGAATATGCAGTAAATTAAACTACAAGTAGTTTTTATTGATATGAGCAATTAAAATTGGAAAGAGATAAGGGTAAAATTAGAAAAAATAAATTAAATATATCTTGGGAATGAAGAACGACAGATAGAAAAAAGATTTAATTTTACCCTAATACGACAAGTAAAATGAAATGGAGGTAGTAATTGTTAACTTTTAGAAAAGGGTCACAAATGTAAATCTAATTTTCTAAATTCGTTTGTGTGTTTGATAAGAAAGAAGATTTAGGCATCCTCCATACCCCCAATCAGAAATTTAGTTGGAGTTGTAAATGACATTAAATACGATTTGGATAAGATTATAGTTCTTCAGTTTTGGATCATGGGAAGTTCTTTTTTTCCCCTCCGAACGAAAGTTGGATAGGAATTCAGTTAATCTTTGAAAAAAGGGCACACTTTAATTATGTACAAACACAAGTTTAAGTTACGTACGGTACAAATGTATAGTTTGTCTATAGTCTAATCTTTACACATGCACTTTATCTTAATTAATCTAGTTGGACAATCCTATTTCTAACTATGTTTTCCTAATCTAGTAACTTATCGTTTAAAGAATCAAATTATGTACATTTGAAGTTGTTTCCGTGCAAACAATATAGAAAGCAACGGCATCCAATTCAAATATACTCATTCTGTTTCAAAATTATAGTCCAATTTAATATTTCACTTTGAGTATAATTCAAACTAGAAATGAAAATCAAAACTGGACAATAATTATGGGACAGAGGGAGTATATATTTTGTTTACATTGTCCAGAAGGTCTTTGACTATAATAACTGTTGTTGTTAGATTTTTAAATTTGATTAATTCAGGTAAATTCATTAGTTTGGATCATCATAATTTAGATTCACGTGCTACAAAACTTATTCCCTCGAAGGCAAACAATTTATGTAAACTTTTGTATTCAGACGAAATCTTATTTTATTTAGGATTGGAACCGTGATTATTGTTGAATATTTACTATATTTTTATTTACAACATTAATTGTGATAACTAACTAATGTTCAAAATTATCCAACCAAAAAGATACTTTACACTACATTTTCTCAATTTTCTGGTGAGTCCGTTAGATCAGTTAATAAATATGAGACAAACTGAATTTGAAATTGAAAACGATTTTTATCTTCTTCTCTTTTCTTTTTTCTTTTTGGTTTTGACAACCTATGGAGTATGGACATATCTTTAATTACGCTCAGCATATACCGTACATATTCCGTTACAAGATAATATGCGACCAAAATGAGTAGACACTGAATTATTCATGAATTTCTCAAGTGATAGGTGAAAGTACAGTTAAATCATGTATTCAAGTTTATCTTTATGTGCGAGAAATACAATTAATAAAAAATACAATTCACATACCCAACAATGAACAAGTTAAAAAAAAAAAAAAAAAACCAACAATGAACAATGTATTTATCCATGTTCATTTGTTTATTACTCTTCAATTGTAATAATGTAGTATAACATTTCTTTCGATCTTATAAATAAGTTGTAAATTTTTTAACTGATCAATAAAATAAAATAATCATTAATATTAATCAAAAGGGTAAAGAATAAAGATTTGTCTTGAACTAGTATTTGGCTAACTATAGAATATGACTCGATCACTTTTGGCCATCTCCATTTATGATATGGGTAAAAGTGGGTTCATCTTGATCTCATCCAACCACGGTGAAAACTGAAAAACCCAGTAAATTTCAGATGGATAAATGTTAGTTAAAAAAAAAAAGGTGACGTGGTGGTAAGGAAGCACTAATTCAGAACAGGGTACTAGGGTAAATTTGATTTTGAAGTTGCAGAAAGGTAAATAAAGACGAAATAAGATAAAAGACAGTTGTGTTAAAGTGTGTGTGTGTGTGAGAGAGAGGAAAAGACGGAGGGACCTTATCCATTAAGAAGAAACCCCTCTTTATAAAAGCAGATCAAAACCTTCACTCTAACCCCTGAATTCGATCGGAAAAAACAACCCCTCAGTTCTTTTAAGGTAGTGAGAGAAAGTGAAAAACATTTCATTTTTTAGAGAGAGAAACTCTCAAAAAAACAACCTTCAATTAATCTAACAATGGCTGCCTCGAAAAGTTACTTTGCCCGGGCCAATTACCGATTCCTCGATGCCCCGTCTGGGATGAAGTCCGACGGCATCTTTGAGCTTGATGAGTCAGATGTCTGGAGCAGCGCCCGGTCGGCGTCGCCGGAATTCCGTAAGCCGGCTTCAGGCTCGCGTATTTCCTCATCGAGGAAGTCGGCGACCAAGATTGACCGCGGCGGAGGCGGTGGTGCTGTTGGTGGGACGGCGGCGTCGCTTCCGGTCAACGTGCCGGACTGGTCAAAGATTCTGAAGGACGAGTATCGGGATAACCGGCGCAGGGGAAGCGACGACGACGATGATTTCGACGGCGACGATGGGCAGGACGGCAGGGGAAATCGGATTCCGCCGCATGAGTTTCTGGCGAGGCAGTTGGCGAGGACTAGAATCGCTTCGTTCTCCGTGCACGAAGGTGTGGGGAGGACTTTGAAAGGCAGAGATCTTAGTAGGGTCAGAAATGCAATTTGGGAAAAAACTGGGTTCGAAGATTGATATTAGCTAGTATTTTACATTCTGGCCATTATATTTTATATTTAATAGTTTTACGTGCTTATGGTTTTTTTTTTGGGGGGGTTAATTTTCGGTCTCGGTTTTTTTTATTGATGACTGGGAGGATAATTATTATGATGTGAAGCGGCTTGTTACTATTAGTGAATGTAACTTCTTTTAACTAATTTTGAGTGATAAATCAAAAAAATTGCGGATTTTGATTTTTTTTTTTTGAATTTTAATTTTTAGTCCTTTTTATTTGTGGTTCTTATAACAGTTTGACGAGATATTTTTGAACTACAATGGCTCCAGAACTTTGTTGATTTATTTTATAGCTGGAAATTGGAAAATGAAGAAAATTTTATTTTTTTGTTGCTAAAAAGTCAAAATGAAAGTTGGTGTTTTGATTAAGGGCATTTTGAATATTAAAGATTTAATTTGGGGATTTACAAACTCAATCCTCCTGTTGTTGTTGTATGCAATTATTCCTACATTTCTTAATTTATATTTCTCTATTTTGTCACTATGTGTAGGTTGAGTTTTAGGTTAGATCATCTTTTATTAGAACTTTATTCCTTTTCTTTTCCTTTTCTTTTTGGGTTTTGGAAGGACTAAAAGCAGGACTATATTGGGACTGGAAGTTAGAAAAAGAGGGTGGAGAATGTAATTGCAACCTGAAAAGTAAACAAATCAATGGGGTTCATTTGGGACTTTGGACGACTTTTTACAAAGCTCGTCCCAAAAATTACAATTATGTTTATTAAAACCAAAAATTTAAAATAACCCAACAAAAAATAAGTTGTAATTTCTTCAGACTTTTGGGAAAGAAAAAAAAATTAACGAAAAGGAGTATTACAAAATTTATTTATTTTTTTTCATTTTTTGACAAGAGAGGAAAGAAAATATTTCGTACGGGTATTTACAAGTTAATAGGAACAAATATCAGTTTCATGACCCTTATTTGTAGGACAACGCAGTCAAAATTTTAAATTTACCTCTTTTTATTTGCTCAAAATATTTACTCCCGTAGCAGAATGCGGATCAATATCATCGTACAAAATTTTGGTTTTCTAAACTTTTGCTGCCAGTTTCCTGGCAACTTCGTCTGTACACCTGGCCAACTCAGAACTACCCACTCTAGATTTGGGCTCATCTGAGAAAAAATAAAATAAAATTCTTATAGAGGATGCAATCAGATAAAGTCCATTTATTTAGTGATTTTGTTAATTGACAAATTGGCACGAATATATTGGACAAATAATTTGTGTTCGTTGGTCACCATGTGGAATTGTGGATACAGTTCACCATTTTGGTTTGCCAAATGTGTTTTTTAAAGTGAAATCTCCAACTTGAACATAAAACATTTGACAAACGGCGGTTTTTATCCACATCCACCGCCCCCCTTCCAATCAACTTGGACTAAACTATATTATAAAACCTCAAAATCTAGATCGGTGTCTTGGTAAAGCTTTAAAAGATTCCTGTAGAAAATTATCCATTTTATCGAATTATCTTTTTGAGTCGATAATAACAGTAATAAATTACGAGTCTGATTTATCTAGTATAACTATATAATATTTTGTGAGGGAATTCAAATTTGCAGGGTCAAGCCGTCACCGAAAAATCGAACGGAAAAAATTTCAACTAACGAACACTTTACTAAAAAAATATTTGGCTGTCAAATCTGATCGGCCGGGGTCGCTCGACCATCCTAATCCCCCTTAATTCCGATATTTCTCCATAATAATCATTATCAAGCCTTCTTCAATTTGTTTCTCAGTTGATTTATTTGAAAAAGGAGAATTAGAGTTTTATGTTTTCTTGTGTTATTTGTTCCGAGACATTGACGATGGAAAACATTGGAAAGAGACGCTACAACTTGTGTTTAAGCCAAAGTGCATCGAACACGCAAATCTTATCTGAGCATTGATGTTCCCCTTTGGCTTGCTTTGTGCTTGCAACTCTCGGCCGGAGGAGTGACTTTTACAATGAAACACGCATTGAGCTACAAATTTTCACCAATTCACAAGTCACCAATAGATGAGGATCATTCCTTAACAAGGTTGCTCATGAAAATTATTAAGAAATCAATTTCTTTTTCAAATGGTGGTCCCTCGTTGTTGCATCTTGTCTCTTTTATTTTTTAAAGCAATTAAGTTTAAATAATTGCACGACTAACAAGGCCTCCAATATTAGTTTTTTTTTGGTACATTATCCAAATCTTATTTGAAGAAGCCCCTTTCTCAAAAGTTATCTTGATGAAAGATTAAATTTTATGGATCTATCTTGAAGGCCCATATAAACCCACGTGTGGTTCCACCTCAAAACCAATTGGCAATGAGAGGAGTAGCACATGAGGTATATATGCTGAGTTCAAGAGTTTTCATCCATCCATGTGGGACAATGGAACATGAGGTCATTTCTTTCTTTCATTCATTTAACAATCTAAACTATAACAAAGGATAATGGTAATATAGCATTGGCCAATTTGTTGTAATCGGGTGTATTTTTTTTTTTAATGTCCTTATAGATAGTCTGCATTCTGAAACTCGTGAATAAGATATGAAAATCTGATAGATTCACTTTCATACGAGGATCGATGTGGGAGACACTTACGGGATTCATCTAAGTTCTTGGCCTCCGAAAGGAGATCTCTCGACTCTGTGCGGATTAGTATGAATGCAAAACACTTCAAACACCGAGCGCGTATATAAGGGAAAAAAAAAATGAAGAAAGGGGTTCATCTAGATTAAATAAAGATTAGTTTGAAATTTTTCAATGTAATGCTGTAAAATGTATCAAACATGATAAATTACCAATTAAGCAACTCCAACTGGCAGTAAGCTTATTATCTGGTTTTCAACTCATCTTTCCCCCCTATATTTGGTAACCGACCTTTTGGGGCATTATGGTGCACAGATAAATTTAATAACATGTAAAACCATTTTGATATGACCAATGACGATAGGTTTGTACTTTATATGGTGTTTGGTCCCTTTGATTGATGATTTTTCTTAATTTATTTTCTCTTATTTTAAACTCTTTCTGTCCCGTACAAAAGATTATGTCGTTTGTATCGTTTCTAACTTAACAAACATGAATCTTTTAATGAATGAAGATCGAATACACATTTTTTTCAGGTGACCATCACAAACATTTCTGATCATATGCTGTTAAAATGTGGACATTGGCATTAATACTAATATATTACTCCTACTTTCGAATTTTGATTCCCTTTTGGGCCGTCTTGCCTTTTACCTCAAAGTGTTTCTAATTCATTATTCCATTTATTCCATTTGCATGATTCTTTAGAGCATTCACAATAATTTTTATTATTGTGAGTATGATGAGTTATCGTATCATAATTTTTCAGTATTACATTTTTTGCTTATTGATTTACACTAAAAAGTGTAACAAAACAAAATAGTTATTCTTAGTAAATTACTAATATGTCATGCATTTTTCAGACAAAACTTTTTTTTGAATGTGTTATATAAAAATTTTCTTCCAAACAAAACAATCATTTTAGCAGACAAAACTTTTTTTGAATGTGTTATATACAAATTTTCTTCCAAACAAAACAATCATTTTAAAATAGAGAAAGCGTATTAACTCGGCAACTTGTTGGGACATTTTAAACTTTGAAACATATGAGATCACAGAATTTGCTAGATAAAGGATGACCTAACTTAGAATCAAAAAAGTTAATCATACTTATTGATATGGCTTGGAATAAAAGTGTATGCTCTTTTTCAACGAGTGGCACCATTAAAGAAATCTATCACAAAAGCAGATTGCTACCATAATACAAATCAACTGCCATATTAAAATTTGGTACTAAAATTCAGGAAAGCCCAATGAATGGATGACAATGTTGAGATAATTATTGTCGATTACTTCCATTAATTAACCGAATACAATTAGCTTGGCCAATTGGTTTAATTTATACCGCCTCTAGGCCTCTTTATTTATATACTATCTTGGAGAATCTAATCTGATTATTAATGGAGCAATAATACAATGGCATTAATTAAAAAATTTCAAAGGGCCATGATGCATGTGAAGTGTGTAGCTTTACTAAGTTGGAAGAGATAAGAACTGTTGAGCTAATTGTTATGATTTAAGCCACGGAAAGTGATGTTCTTTCATGACCCCTTCACAAGGAGTTTGTGATCATGTTAAACATCAATTTTTCTCTCCTTTAATTTGGTACATACTCCCTCTGTCCTAAAATTATTATTCAGTTTGAGATTTCAGTTTTAGTATAATTTAAACTAACAATAAAAACTCAAACTGGACAATAATTATGAAACGGAGAGAGTATATAATGTATGTCATCATAATAGACTTTGTGGACGAAGTCAGTTTCGTTCTCAAATTTTGAAGAACATAGCTGTTACTTTTTCGGACCTGTAAATTCATGGAAATTAAGACATTAGAGATTTCATTTGTAAACTAAGAATGATATAACTGTGCAAAAGATGCTAAAGCATCGATGTTTGAACACCTTGTGATGCTTGATTTTAACACTTTTGTGTTATACTTGTAATATATAAAACGAGAAGTCTTCCATTTCACCTCGTCCATGATGAGAGCTAATATTTTCCATAACAAGTGAAAATTTGATAAATTAAATAATACTTTCTCTGTTCTTAAAAATAATCCATATTGACTATTGAATTTTTAATTCTGTAACAGCATGATAATTACGACTGTCCTCTCTTGGCTCCGTCACTACGTCCATTCTGAGGCCTTTTCTTTGGCTATATATTCACGTGTTATGATGCTTAATTATGGAGTAGTGCACCTAGCAAGATCGTCTTGTTGTTCGATTTTGTTTGCTTAGAGCTTGAAGTATAGGACGTTTAGCCAGCTACCCTGTCGTATGTTTTCGTTTTTAAGGTTAGTGAACCAAAAATGGTTCATTTTTACCAAATCATGCATTCTCGTCCTTCTAGAAAACAAAAAATTAAGGGCACAAATGGCGACTAAGTTAAGGAGAGAAAGGATATAAACTATGAGAATTGAATGACAGTCTAGTGGTTAGGTTACTTTTTTTTATGATAATAGATCAAGATAGATTAGGGTTCATGGTTCAATTCTCACCCAAGATTGTAAGAGAGTTTTACTCACATTTAAGTGAAGTATATTGAGATAGATTATTATTATTATTATATATATATATATATAGATGACCATGAAAATTGATTAAACGATTATCACAAAAGAGATAGAGAGGGAATCGACATCTTCGAGGCTTTGACATTTGTATTCATTTTCCTAGGATTGAGTTGGGAGTTATATGCTGGTTTTGTTAAAAATAGTCGTAATCTTTCAATTGTATCATTTAACTCATTCAATTCTTCACGTCAAGAATTCTTTTGTCTCTCTCATTTACGTAAGGCTCCAATTGATTATTATTATTTTTTTTAATGGCTCCAAGATGGGTAAGTGGTAACTAGATATTGGCATAAATTGATGAAGGGGAAAACCATAATTCCAGATTTCCACTACCAGGAAAAGCAAAACATAGCCTAAAGCATCAAACCCAAGTACCATGAGCACCACTCCACCATAACTAAAAAAGAAGACAAGAAAGTCCTATCAAAATTTACTTTTGTA